TCAGCTAGTGGAGATTAGAAGGTCAAACGCTCCATATTAGTATTGCTGTAACACAGGAGAGAAAAGAAGCCAAAGTTAGTGTAAATATAAAACGTCCCTTGCAATTCAACTTTGAATGCTTCTACATCAAGCCTCTGCCTGCTGTCTCCAAATGCCAAAACCCAGAGCAAGTGCAAAAATACTATGCACATTGCTCAGAAGATCCACCCTCGTAAAGAAGCTACACTAACTAGTGTTCACAAGGAAAGAAAAAAATACAATTCTGAAACATAGTATTGTCTTCATGAGTACACTTGGTCAAGAGTCTTAGGTGTCAGCTGTGTCTTTGTATAACAGCCTGGGCATGAACAGAAACACTCTCTCCCCTCCACGCCTCATCAGTCAGACGGATCGGCTACAATTTCAAGTGCCTGTTTCTTTACGCAAACCTGCAGAGCCTCATTCTTTTGGTACCAAAGATCCTCGGTTCCATCTACAGTGACATAATGCTCGGGACTGCAACCCGAACGCGTCACGCAAGGTCTCTCTTCTGACCTACTCTGAATCACCGTTCCCCACCTTGGACACGAGGCAGAACGCTGCCCGCGCTCACCCGGCTTGCACGGGCAGACGCAAACACAAAGAACTCGAAAACTTCGCAGTAGTTAATTTTCTGGATAATCCTATCAAAAAGTCAGCTGAAAGCTCAGAAGGAATATAATACTTAATGCTTCAAGACAAGCAAAAGTAGGAAGGAATTCTTCATGAGAGTAGGATATAACTTATCTTAAAAGCAAACAGTATCTTGAGCCCTTCTCCAATGAATATGACGCACACTAATTACTTAAGGGATGGGATAGAACCTACTTTCTACTCTCTCAGTAAGTCAGTTTTGATTCCTGTTTTAACTCAAAACCCATGAAACATGTAAGTACCTCCTGAGGCAGGATACTCTACAGAGGTCTGTGAATGCATCTTTGTGGAAGAAAATAAATGGTTAATTAACGGCAATAGTAATTTTGTGTTCCCAAGTCAGTCTACCTTTAAGCCTAAAATCAATTTTTTGTTCGTTATGTAGCATTCACCAATGACAAAAATATCACCTGCACTTAAGAAAAACACCCAGCTAAAGAGCTATGAAGAAAACCCTTTAAAGCCCCCGCAGGAGGCTCTACCTCCCGCCGCAGCTCATGGAGCTGCCAGTCAAGATGAGTGAAATAATATTTCATATCCTCATGGAAGCCAAGAGCAGGAGAAACGAGCTCCTTTTAGCAAACCCAGGGCGCAGCACCCTTAGCCGCGCAGCTCCCTCCGCACGCTCCCCTTCACGTAACTTCATCTGCCGAAACACCCGGGAGCTTTCAGCATCCTGCAGGCTCGCAAACCTCCAGCAACGCTGCGACCATTTCGCAACGTGCAGCACGCGGCATTGCGGCCGTCTAAAATTATTTCAGCATATTTACGTACAGGATAAATGTGACTATACCCTACGCTTCTAGAGAACTTGGCTTTCCACGGCGGATCTTTCAAGCTGACGCTGTTATTCCCATACGCTTCTGAAAACTTTTGGAGAACATGAGCGTAACTACATATACTACAGAGGAAGCCGAGTGTTTTTCAAAAGGTTATTCATATTTTTCAAGCCCTTTTGATTAAAGGACAAGAGTCACCATCAATTCTAAACTTTACTCAAACAGGCCCTCATTGTATCTCAAAAGGAGAGCTTCTTTTAGAGATATTTTTAGCAAAAGGAAATTCAGTGAAATTAGCCAGTTCTGCCAACTACTTCCATTTTCCAATGCTGCTCAAACTGACTTCCTGGTAATATTAATTGACATAAAAACATTTAGCTATTATATGCTGGAGGACTTGGAAAACCAAACAAGACTCTTGCTTGGTGCAGTGTATAAAGGAAAAAAGAAAGTCCTAGAAAAGTTAAGGAAAACAAATCTTTCCTGTTCTGAATATATTTTAAGTAAAACTTTTAAATAGCTATAAATTAGCAGCATCAAGAATTTTCTTTCACTTATTTCTATGGTTGGTGAGGGTAACCAAGGGTTTTTTATTTGTTTCTGTCAATTGTAACTGGGGAAATTTGAGAAAAAAAAATCAAGCTAAACTGTATCACTTCTTTCACTGCTTGAAAAATATTAACATATCAATCTTGCATTTTTTTGTTCATTATTTTAATATGCACGAGTAATTGAACAGAGATTTCTCTTACTCTGAGCAATATAGCCCAAGATATCTATGTAGTAATTACTTGATTAAAAACTTGATAAATTAGGAACAATAATGTCTGCAATTCTAGGAATAATATGAAACTAATCACCTGCATCTTGGTCACATGAATACTCATATTTTGTGCTCATTATCTAATACAATATGAGCCTTGAGATAAAGGATTTCACCCAATTCCTACACAAGGAAGGCTGCAAAAGACTTAACTGTATCCTACCCACTGCAATAAAGTAACTTTACAACGAAAAAAATCAGTTGGCATTACCACTATTGCCTCACAGCTCAGTAAAAAGTTCAAAGACTTTCCCTCAAATACATCTTTTAAAGATGGCTTTATGTGGAGGAGGTTTAAAAAAAAAAAAGTTTTTCTGTTTCTGACAAAGTATTTCAAGGCACAAGCTGACTCAGAAGTCACTGCAGACGTCTTGGTAACTTCTTGGGCTTTGCAGTGTCCAACAGGCTGTATTCACTCATCACGAAAGCTGAGCGCGGGGCTGGGGGGGAATTGAGGCACACGGAGAAGAATTTGACCTCTCAGTGAAGAGGTATTTGGTTTTTTAGAGGATGTTTTAACTCCCAGATAGGGGCCGGGTGGGTATCCTAGAGCTGAAGCCACAGGCAGCTCCCGAGCAGCCCCCCAGTGCCGGGGCGCTGGCAGAAGCCACACGAGGGACAAGCGGGACGGCGAGGCCACCGTGCCCAACTGCACCAGGTTCCCCAGCCCTTAAACAACCCCTTTTTTGATAACAAGGGTAACCAACAGCAGTCCTTGCTGCAGAGGGAAAATCACCACGGGGCCTCTCACAAAAGATCCCCCCTTTACAGCTCTGCTTAACATCCACCTGTTCCTGTGGCGCAGTTCCCTGGACAGACACTTCCAAACCTAAGGATACCACACGCTCACAATGTTCAAAATACTAGGCATCATTTGCACTAAAGCTTAATGCACTAAAATGAAATAGAAGTTCCTCTTTCATGGAGCAGCAAGCCTATAAGCCAGTACAGAAAAGAGTAATACTTCATTATATGAGTAATTTTGTATCACGGAATAGGAATGATTTTTCTCTTTATTCTATTTCTGCACAAAACTTAACCCAATAGGGCACACATCATGGCTTGGACTCTTGAAACCAAATGATAGCAGAGCATCATTCAGAATATTAAACATGTCCAAAGAAACAGGAGGAAATCAGCTCATACATGACACTCCAGAGTAAGTAAACTACATAGGAAAAAAGAAAAGCATTTCTAGGTGGAACTTCTGATCTAGTGAATTCTAATTAGTCCGACTCAAGCAGGTTTTAGTGACAAGACAGAGTTCAAATGCTCGCTAGTAGTTTCAGTGACCCCGTTCACAAACAAATAGCAGATTAAAAAAACACCTTCTCAAAAGAACTTACCATTTACAGGGAATTCCACGGGATATATCAAAAATATTCCACTACACCACAACCTAGAACACATCAATAAGCAGCAGATGAGATTTCAAGCTTAGCCAAAGCGGCTGCAAAGACTTTACATTAGCAATACCACATAAGCAGAAAAAAAGATTGCCACTACTTTCATTTCAAAACCCCAAAAAGCTTAAGTCAACTAGTCACTTGCAAACAAAGCAAATTCTCACCCACGATTTAGCAGCTTCAAACATCTGACCTACCGAGTTTGCATCTGCCTAAGTGCATTTGAGCTCCTGCCCCTGCAGCCACCACCGGCCCAGCTGGAAACAAACTGCTGAATCAGTCGCCAAGTGGTCGCATTGCTCCTTCAAACGCAAAACCGCACGGGAAAGGTGTGGAGACAGCAGGGGAATAACTCGCCATCACAGAGCCAGAGATCAAAAACGTAGCCTCATCTATGCCGATAAATGCAGCGCTCCTGAATCGTGCCAGCTAGCTGCTTTTTTTTCCTTCTTTGGGAAGAAGGATGCTGTATTTTTCCGGGGAGAGGACTGGCAGCGGCACAACGCGGCGATGGCTCCCAGCGCCGGTGCAGGGACCGCGGCAGCCCCTTTCGGTGTCTTCATCTGCCAAGGACGGCGGCCAAGACTGTTCCCCGGCCTCCTGCGACTCCCAAGGATGCAGAACAGCCAAGTACAACCTGATCTCGCACTGAAGCAAAACCAGGAGGCAGACAGAAGGGCTGCACAGGAAAAGGGCACTGAAAAATACACCATTATGAAGCTTGCACATGTTTAACTTGTAGTTTCTGAAATTTGTAGACGACCCTGTAATTGCGATTGCATAAACGTACGCGCAATTAAAGCAAAACTTACTACAAATAAGCCCATCAATTTCAAGAGGTGTTTGTAGGCTGGTCACTTTGTACTTCAAAAGCAGCCCTATCCCAGAGCACACCCTACCCCAGCTCCCTGCACCAGCCCTCGGTTACACAGATGTTCCTGTCACTAACTGAGCTCCAGAACTTGTCTCTTCCTTCACGGGCTGTCAGATCTGGCGCTTGCTGGGAGTCCTCACTTGCACCGCACACCATGTCACATACCAAAGCCCAAATCTGCCACGACAAAAAGGTTACACGCTAGTAAACAGAAAGTCACCTAGGTTTTAAGTCCTTAAAGGGGTAGGAATAGCCTTTTGCGCCCTCGTGAACTCATCTAGCATCATATAACCCTGACTGACCATGAAGTACAAAAACATACACAGACCATAACGCACTTTAGATGCATGAA